TGAACTCCGTGGCTCAAGCCATCTTCCTGCCTCAGCCTTCCAAAGTGTTGGGATTACAGGCATGAGCCACCATGCGCAGCTCCTAATGTGCTTTAAAGGTTTCATCTACCCTGTGAATAAATGAATTATTCACATTTTAGTCAGTCCAGCAAATCAGATCAGGTATATGATTTCCAGATGCATACCCTTAACTACAGTATTATACTACGTCAATTTTTTTCATATGTAATATAGGGATAATAAGCATTCCATTCACCTACTCTTAAGAACTGGTAAGTAGCCAGGTGTAGTGGCTCACACCTGTAATCTCAGCACTTTGCAAGGTCAAGGCTGGCACATCACAAGGTCAGGAGATGGAGACCATCCTGGCTAACACAGTGAAACCCCCATCTCTCCTAAAAATACAAAAAATTAGCCGGGCGTGGTGGCATGGTGTCTGTAGTCCCAGCTACTTGGGAGGCTGACGCAGGAGAATCACTTGAATCCAGGAGGCATAGGTTGCAGTGAGCTGAAAGGTTGCACCACTGCACTCCAGCCTGGGTGACAGAGTGAGACTCTGTCTCAAAAAGAAAAAGAAAAAGAATTGGTAAATAAATGTGACAATGCCTTGGGAAAAGTTTTTAAAGCCCTATATACATGTATGTTATTTTTACATTAAATCAATTTGATTTTGGCCAAAGCCCTTATTACATTTATTATTTATATCTGATGAGAGATGTATTTGTGATCACTAACCTCAATGACAGACTTGCCAGCTAGACCTGAGAAAAGGTGTTGGTTCCGTGTCTCTTTAACCTGAAACTATAACCTCTGTGATAGCAGAAATCTGATTTTGCTCATTGTAGAACCTCCAAAACGGTGCCTATCACATAATCGATATTGATATGTATTTGTGAGATAAATTATAATGAATCTTTGTCATCTATCACAGTTTCTATCCTTCTTGTTTGAGACTGGATCTTGCGGTGTAGCTCAGGCTGGAGTGCGATGGCCACAATCTCCACTTACTGCAGCCTAGACTTCTGGGGCTCAAGTGGTCTTCCCCCCTCAGCCTCCCAAGTACTGGGACCACAGGTGTGCACCACCATGCCTGGCTAATTTTTGCTATTTTTTTGTAGAGACAGGATTTTGCCATGTTGGCCAGGGTGGTCTCAAACTCCTGGGCTCAAGCAATCCTCCACACCCAAAGTGTTGGGATTACAGGTGTGAGCCACTGTGTGCGGCATTTCTTTTTTTTCGGGACAGGGTCTCACTCTGTTGCCCAGGTTGGAGTGCAGCAGCATAATCTCGGCTCACTGCAACCTCCACCTCTCAGGTTGAAGTGATTCTCCTGCCTCAGCCTCCTTAGTACCTAGACTTATGGGTGCCCCCCAGCATGCCTGGATAATTTTTTTTTGTATTTTTAGTAGAAATGGGGTTTCACTATGTTGGCCAGGCTGGTCTCAAACTCCTGACCTCAGGTGGTCTGCCCACCTCAGCCTCCCAAAGTGCTGGGATTACAGGTGTGTTTTGTCCAGCCTCTTCGTAAACATTTTAAGATTCTTATATAGTTTGACTGAGGTTGGGTGGCTTCTATGGAACCTGAGGGTGATGCAGAGACCTCAGACTATTCCAGGCCCTGAGTCTACAATTGAAAGCTGAAGGAATGTCTAAAAGAGTGTTTTGGGAGCCTTCACCATTTACAAGTATTTACTCAGAAAGAATACTTTTTTAACCCTGCTTTAGAATGTAATGCTTATAACATAGTAAATAACAATATGATGCATCCATTCATTCATTTAAGTACATTTACTGCCTTTGACTATTTTCTGTCCACGGCAACCAAGTAAAAATTCCGTCCTAGGCCGGGCGTGGTGGCTCAATCCTGTAATTCCAGCACTTTGGGAGGCCGAGGTGGGTGGATCACGAGATCGAGACCATCCTGGTTAACATGGTGAAACCCTGTCTCTACTAAAAATACAAAAAATTAGCTCGGCATGGTGGCGCATGCCTGTAATCCCAGCTACTTGGGAGGCTGAGGCAGGAGAATTGTCTGAACCAAGGGGGCGGAGGTTGTGGTGAGCCGAGATTGCACCATTGCACTCCAGCCTGGGTCACAAGCGAAACTCTGTCTCAAAAAAAAAAAAATTCCGTCCTAAGTGCACCAAAAAAAGAATGAGCCATAGTAGGTAGACAGATGTAGTTTCATTGTCAATTTGCCCTAGCTGCTAGTAGTTCATTAAACATTCTACACCGGCAGTGGGATAGCTAATCATTAGTTGCCAGAGGATGTGTACTTGATGGTGGTCAAATGTAGCAAACATTCAAATAATCTGTGTTTTGCTATTTCCAGGACTACCAACTTCTTGATGAAGGGTCTGGGTATCTAGCCCCTTCTTGTGCTGCTTGGAAGTCTAAACTTGACCCTTCATTAACTACAGATCACATCATTGCCCTTGTTAAGTGTTTAATCACTAGGGATAGTTAACTCTCTTACTGAGTATCGAAAAATCAATCGGATCATTGGCTTGTATTCTTCATATAAGAATATGTTAAATATAATTATAATGGGGTTCAGGACTATAACTTCTGAGAAATGTTTTTACATAGCAAATGAACAAGTATTGTGCCTGTTACATGTAAACAGAACTTTAAGCTAGAAGTATTATGTTCATGTCCTTTTTGTTTTTTTAATTCTTGACCACCAGTAAATCCTTGAACATTCTCACCTACCACCTGATAGTGTCATTTGCTAAAGGGAGTAATTGCCACCTCTCTCAGAGGGTTGCAGTGAAAATTAAAAGAGATAGTAAATGTAAAATTGCTTTATAATCTGTCAAGTGCCAAACACACATACCGGGATTATTATAGTAGGAAATGGTGTCTTCCAAAGAGTCATCATTCAGACAATGTTATAAACGTGATAAATTATTGGTTTCTATATTCAACCCATGACAAGTTTTTGTAGCCATGATGAGGCAGAAGAAACTAATAATTTAGAATTTTCGGTTGATGTGGTTTTGTTTGTTTGTTTGTTTGTTTGTTTTGAGACAGGGTCTTGTTCTGTCACCCAGGCTTGAGTGACAAGCCATTTTGGCTTGCTGCAACTTCTGCCTCCCCGGTTGAAGTGATTCTCCTGCCCCAGCCTCCCTAGTAGCTGGGACTACAGGCACACATTACCATGCCTGGCTAATTTTTGTATTTTTAGTAGAGAAGGGGTATCACCGTGTTGCTCAGGCTGGTCTTCAACTCTTGACCTGAAGTGATTCACCTGCCTCAGACTCCCAGAGTGCTGGGATTATAGATGTGAACCATTGTGCCCAGCTGTTATGTGGAAATATTAATTTCACATCCCATAGAGGAATATACAGTGTTTTTGGAGTTTATATTTTAAACACATTGTAACAGTGAATGTCTAGAAATTCAACCATTGTCTGGAGATTTTCTTACAATTCTGAGCTTCTCCCAGTGCATTAATGGAAGGCTGAGGCTACCCCTTTGCTCTTTACTTTTTGTTTTTTTAGCATCTGGTGAATTTATTCAGCATACCCACAGGCATTATCTTTATGCTTTCACACATAAACACAGACACAGCACAATATCCATATTTAGCCCAAGTGCATTCCTTTTGAAGTTCATTTATATGTCTTCATATGCCACAGCCCATCATTTAAATAATGGATTTTTTTTTTTTTTTTTTTTGAAACAGAGTCTGGCTCTGTCGCCCAGGCTGGGGTGCAGTGGCGCAATCTCGGCTCACTGCAACTTCTGCCTCCTGGGTTTAAGCAATTCTCCTGCCTCAGCCTCCTGAGTCACTTGGATTACAGGCGGCAGCCACCACACCCAGCTAGTTTTTGTATTTTTATTAGAGACAGGGTTTCACCGTGTTGGCTAGGCTGGTCTTGAACCCCTGACCTCGCGATCAAAGTGCTGGGATTACAGGCGATATTTTCAATGCCAATTCCTTTGTTGACTTTCTCAGTAACTTCTTCAGACATCTTCGTGACTCCAACACATAGAGCATGCTGTTTTCCTTCTGCCATGGTAGCAACAAGGGCATCTACTGCAGCAGGGCAAAGCTTACTTAGCTCCAGGAGAAGTTAAGCCATTGAATACAAATTTGATGGCTCCTTTATCAACCTGCTGGTGTGGCAGGATAAAAAGATATTTGTGAATTAACCTTAGGGTTGGATAAAAAGGCCCTTCTCTTTGTCTAAAAAAAATAGCAATTCTCAAAAAAAAAAAAAAAGTAATTCTCCATTTACTGTAAGAATTTTTATATGTTCATGGCATCGGACTATTTTGACGGGATCTTTCTTAGGCATGATCTGATTAAGCCATGGTTCAATACCTGGAAATTACTCTATCAATTGATTCTTTTTTTTTTTTTTTTTTTTTTTTTTTGAGACGGAGTTTTGCTCTTGTTAACCAGACTGGAGTGCAATGGCGCAATCTCGGCTCACCGCAACCTCCGCCTCCTGGGTTCAGGCAATTCTCCTGCCTCAGCCTCCTGAGTAGCTGGGATTACAGGCACGCGCCACTATGCCCAGCTAATTTTTTGTATTTTTAGTAGAGACGGGGTTTCACCATGTTGCGCAGGATGGTCTCAATCTCTTGACCGCGTGATCCATCCGCCTCGGCCTCCCAAAGTGCTCAATTGATTCTTAATACCTTTAATAACTGAGGTTTTCAACTGGTTGCAGTTGGACATATTTTCTTTTTAATCAAATTTCTTGAATATGATCCAAGGTGAAGGAGGCAACGGTAGAGAAGGGCCCGGAATGGGAAAGAAATTGAATTTGCAAGGGTCCGGCAGATCCCCTTACATCAGGAAGGCCGGCACCGACAGTGGAAGCTGTAGTCGTTATCCGAACCGCTCTTCATATTTGTAAAAAAACTTCCCACTATCCTTCCCTCTCCTCGGAAAGCGAACAGAGTGCATGAGATAAAGTAGTTCAGATTACATCCAGCATGATAAACTGTGTCCTTGACTTAATCTCATGCGATTCCCAAAACATTTCCAGCCTACTGTGAGGAGTTATATTCAGTGGTCCACAATGAGTCAGGCAGGCAACGGCGACTTCTAGGTCCCCCATCCCTTTTCTGAGAGACTTCAGGGAAAGCAACAGAGTTGGAGATGGGTGTGGGGAGGATGGTGAGGACTACAAAGGTCTCCCCACCTCCCGGGGACCGCCGGGGCGGGGCTGGATGAAGGTCGACGTGCCTCCTCCGGGCGGGGCGCTGCCATGCTCTCAGCCTCTCTGTGGAAGGGCAGCCTGCGCCTGGGTACCGAGGCTGCTGCGCCGCAGACGGCGGGCGCGATGTATCTCCGCAGGGCGGTCTCCAAGACCCTGGCGCTGCCGCTGAGGGCGCCCCCCAACCCCGCGCCGCTCGGGAAGGACGGTGAGTAAGGACGTCTAGCCCGAAGGGGAGGACTGCGCCTCGGGCGCAGATTTCGCCTCTGCCCGGGTACTGGCCGGCAACCAGTTGGCCAAACCCGACCCGGAGAAGCAGAAGTCTGGATTGGAGGACGAGGATAATGGGGGAGAGTACCGGGAAGACGTCCCGAAGTAGGGAACTTTTCCAATGTGCCGTTGAGTCCAGATTATCTGGGTTCGCATCCCGATCTTGGACAAATGGCTTAACCTGTTTTCTCATCTGTAAAATGAGGGCGATAACGGTTTTGCGTTTAAATGAGTTATGAATGGTTAAAAGTACTTAAAACTTACCTGGCTGACATAGTCGTAGCTTACTACTTTTATTGTTAGAGACACCATTCGCTCTCCATCCTCCTGAGGAAGCAGAGGAAGGGTGGGAAGGTGGGAGCCGACCAGCGAGCTGGCCCGGGCAAGCGCTGGGAGGCAGATGCAGTGCCCGCTCAGTGGAAGCTGGACGAATGCTCGTGGGGTGAATAAACCTAACCCTTGGCCGGGTCTCAGCAGCCTGAACCCCGCGAGCGCCCGACTCCGAGATCCACCCCCTCCAAAAAAGAAGCGGCCTTCGGGGCACTTTCCTTTGAGGTTGCAGGTCGTCCTGCGGCTGCTTGGCTCTGTCTTCCAAATATCGACACCTTTGGGTCTGGGGGTGCGCGGGATAAAGCAGAATACTCAGAAATTAACTAAAGGGGGAGTTCCAGTGTGAACTGGAAGCTGATTAAATAAAAATGGACGTATGGGAAAGCGCCTCGTATAGAGCCTGGAATAAAGTAGGTGCTTAATAGGTGTGAACAAGGAAGATTGTTTTTCTTCCCAGCAGCCTGCGGCTCTAGGACCAGACTTGCGCTCCCAGGCGGTTATGCCCCAGCCGCTCTTCCCTAGTCCCCGTCTTCCCCTCCGGATTGGGGGACCGCTCTTAGACACATCTTGAAGCGTACTTGATGCTCTCTTCACTTCCCCTCATTTTCTGAGGCTTTCGAGCCCAGAGGGTGGATTCCAGCGGGAGAGAAAGACGCTCGCGGAAAATTCCATGGGCCGATTTTTTTTTCACATTGATTAGGCCTCTGGTGGTGGTGGTGGTGGGAGGGAAGGAGGGAGGTCTAATCAACTCGTTTTATTTTTCTTCTAAAATGCTGGTGGGAGGAAGTTGCCCCTCAAGTATCAGCAATAAGACTTCTTCGCTTTCCTATATCTTTATTGTCTTTATTTTTCTAGACCTTTATACCAAATAACATAGAACTTTTAAATATATATATTGATGAAATAGGGAGAAGCCATTTATTTTAAACTTCTGAAGATAACGGGGCTGTTCTGATGGGAATGGGGAGAAAGATTAGTTCTCTGACTGTGGCCTTTCGCTTTATCTGTTTGCCTGCACCCCCCACCGACATCACGCGCTCGCGCACGTGCTCACACACACGCACCTCTTTTTGTAGCTGAACAAATTTTAAATACTTTTCTTCCCAATTTGGGGCAAAATAGAAGTAGTTTAAAATTTTTTAATACGTACCTAGCAATGCTGCTTGTAGAAGTACTGGTCTTTCTCTAATTTCCATCCAACTACTATTTTTACAGCACTTAAAATGTATTTAAGAACTATTATTGACTGTAAACAAATGCGTCTTCAGTCGTGGACATTAACCTTTTGTCGATATTTTCTACTTTGATGAAAAATAAAATTTTTTCAGTTTCATTGAAGGAAAATTTTTTACTATCTCATCACATTTTGTTCTCTCATTTTTTGCTTTTAAAAGGGCAACTTTTTCTTTCTTTTTTTTTTTTTTTTTTTTTTTTTTTTTGCTCTCGTTGCCCAGGCTGGAGTGCAATAGCGTGAGCTTGGCTCACCGCAACCTCTGCCTCCTGGGTTCAAGCGATTCTCCTGCCTCAGCCTCCTGAGTTGCTGGGATTACAGGCATGCACCACCACGCCCGGCTAATTTTGTATTTTTGGTAGAGATGGGAATTCTCCATATTGGCCATGCTCCATATTGGTCTCCAACTCCCGACCTCAGGTGATCTACCTGCCTCGGCCTCCTACAGTGCTGAGACTATATGGTGGCAGTGAGCCACCATGCCTGTCCTTAAAAGGTTAACTTTTTAATGAATAAATAATTTAGGTGTATAATAAATAATTGGGGAAAAACAGGTAAAATAGAAAATAGAATTCTACGACTCAATGAACACAACTAATTACATTTTAGTATGTTTAGTTTTCCAGACCTTTTGTTTCTCATTCCTTCCTTACGCACATTATTTTCACAAACCTGGGATAGTCGTATACAGAGTATTTTGCTATGACTTTTTACCTAATACATTGTAAATATCTTCTCATTGTAAGTAAATATTGTTCTATTTAAAGAAATAGACATAGTAAAAGTTTTATCTATTTGTTTCACATTATATGAATCTGCTAAAATTGGTCCAATTAATTCTTATTGAAAATTTCTCATTTCATTGTCTTTTTAAGTAACTTGTCCATCATTGTATTTGTATTCAAGTCTACTTAAATCTCTGATAATTTTAGTTCTTTCATTTAAAAAATATTGCTGATATTTTTGTCTGTTTGAGAAATATGAAGGCTGTATATTCCCTGTTTGATCACAGAGGTATTTGTAAGCTAACAGAAGTCCCACCACAAGTCAAAGCCATAACCTCTTCTCATAACCTTTTGGGCACATTTGAAGGAAAAAAAGTTTTTACAAGAAATGGTCATTTATAGCCAAATTAAGACATAAACAGAGATCGTTGTGATTTTGCTACTGTGAAGGATTGTAAGCAGTGCAAATGTCTTAAGATTTTCCCCGTGCAAAGCATAATCTTCCACTAGTCCCTGCAACCCTACACTTTATGTTAGGCCCATCAAACTACAAGTTGGACATGCTCAATCTGAAAAACTGAAATCCAGAATGCTCCAAAATTAGAACAATTTGAGCACTGACATGATGCTACAAGTAGAAAATTCCATACATAAGAACTTAACACAAACTTTGTTTCATGCACAAAATTATTCAAAATATTATATAAAATTACCTTCAGTCTATGCATGTAAAGCGTATATGAAACGTAAATTAATTTTGTGTTTAGACTTGGGTCCCATTCTTAAGATATCTCATTATGTGTATCCATATATTCCAAAATAAAAAATATCCAAAACCCCAAACACTTCTGGTCCTTCTGGTCCCAAGCATTTTGTTTTATTTTAATTATTTTTTTTGAGACAGAATCTTATTCTGTCACCCAGGCTGGAGTGCAGTGGTACAATCAGAGCTCACTGAAGCGCTCAAGCGATCCTCCTGCCTCGGCCTCCCAAAGTAGCTGTGACTACAGGCACATACCACCACTCCCAGCTAATATTATAAAAAATTTCTGTAGAGATGGGGCTCACTACGTTGCCCAGGCTGGTCTTGAAATCCTGGATTCAAGCGATCCTCCATCTCTACCTCGCAAAATGTTGGGATTACAGGCCTGCACCACCGCACCCACCCCTAGCATTTTAGATAAGGGATATTCAACCTGCACTTTGCACCTTCTATGTCACGAAACTCTCATGCTTTTACACATTACACCTTCTGAATCCAGTGCCATTCCTCTTTCCCTTACTTATCTGACAAACTTATTTTCCTTCAAAACTCAGGTCTCTTCTATTAGGGCAGCTACCGTGGCCAACCAGCTGAGTTTTTTCTCTGCAGATAGCTTGGCTTAACACTTATTACATTTGTCATACTGCATCACAATTATTTGTCTGTATGTTCATACCCTCCTTCTAGACTGTGAATGGCTTGAGGCGAGGAACCTTGTCTGTCTTGTTCACGGTTGTATTCTTAATGCTTCTAACCATTCCAAATACATAGTAGATGCTCAGCTGTGTTAGTTGAAAGCATACATAAATGTCTGTACATCTTTAAAGAATTTGAGTTGTATATACTTTAAGCTCCTTCCAACTTTGAGTTTATTGTAAAAATTTCAATTCCAGGGCATTATGGGATATACAAATTTTAGTACAATAAAACAAATATATTTAAATATAATAATATAGTACTTTTTTTTTGAGACAGAGTTTCGCTCTTGTTACCCAGGCTGGAGTGCAATGGCGCGATCTCGGCTCACTGCAACCTCTGCCTCCTGGGTTCAGGCAATTCTCCTACCTCAGCCTCCCGAGTAGCTGGGATTACAGGCAGCACCACCGTGCCCAGCTAATTTTTTTTGTATCTTTAGTAGAGACGGGGTTTCACCATGTTGACCAGGATGGTCTCCATCTCTTGACCTCGTGATCCACCCGCCTCGGCCTCCCACAGTGCTGGGATTACAGGCTTGAGCCACCATGCCCGGCCCTATAGTACTTTTATATGTTTCTATTAGTTTATACAGAATTGTACTTCTATTTCAGATACAACCTGATTGCAACACTTGGCTTAAAAACCTTTTGTCTGCCCATTTTTGCTTTATAAGAGAAAAATTGAGATTTCTTCCTATATCTACATTTGCATTATAGAGTTATAGAAATCTGTTGGATTTCAACATAAATGCTTGATTTAACATATAAATACTAATTTTATTGCATTTTAGGTATAAACATACTGAATTCATATTTTAAAAAATAATTTTTTAAAAATAATCATTTCTTAAAAAATAATCATTTTCTTTGAATTCTGTAGTGGAGTATATGGCTTTTTCTTGCTAATGTGCACTTCATTTGGCTGTTAAAATTGTTTAGTGCTTTTGCTATTTCTCCTTACCCACACCTGCACCGCTCCCAAGAAGGCAAGATGCTCAGCATCAAGATGACAGGTTTCATGAGTGTTTATCAAATTAGATTGGGAGAATGTCAAGTGGAATTATTACCCAGCCTTGTAATACTGTATTCCCTTAAGCTAAAATCACTTAATATTAATAGATTCTAGGTTCACTGAAGAGAAAAAATTTAAAAGATGTAATTATTTAAAATAGTTTTGCTTAAGTAGTGAAGCTAACTGTGTTTAAACGTTGTTTTCCTAGCATCTCTGCGCCGGATGTCATCTATCAGATTCCCTGGATCATCTGGATCAAATATGATTTATTATCTGGTTGTAGGCGTCACAGTCAGTGCTGGTGGATATTATGTAAGTGATTACATAACCACAGTGCTCAAGAATTTATGTATTTTACAACTCGTGGTAAAGCTCAAAGCAATGTCAATATCAGGACATGGGATTAATTAAATATAAAACGGAGCAATCGATTTAAGTGTCATTAAGCATACACATATGAAAAATACCTTGCAAACATTAGAAATTCAGGGTTTTCATAAGAATATATTAACTAGACTATTATGAAGATTTTTCTTCTTTATTTTTTAATTTCATTTCATTTGAATCTCAGCTTTCTAAATTATGAAGAATTTTGTATGTGTAAACTCAACATTTCTTAATACCATTAATATGGATGACTTTTAGTAAAACAATTTTATTATAAATGCTAATAATGAGAGCTGATATTTGAGTGTTTATCATATGCCAGACTCCTGGATCATTTAATAATTACAGCAATTCTATCAGGTAGGCATTATTATTAACATTTTAAAAGAACTATTTTGAAAGATTAACTTAAAAATTAATATAGGTGCTGGGCTCAGTGGTTCACACCTGTAATCCTAGCACTTTGGGAGGCTGAGGCAGGTGGATCACCTGAGGTAAGGCGTTCGAAACCGGCCTTGCCAACGTGGTGCAACCCCATCTCTACTAAAAACAGAAACTTTAGCTGGGCATGGTTGCACGAGCCTGTAATCCCAGCTACTCGGGAGGCTGAGGCAAGAGAATCGCTTGAACCTGAGAGGCTGAGATTGCAGCAAACTGAGATCGCGCCATGGCACTCCAGGCCTGAGCGACAGAGTGAGACTCTGTCTCAAAAAATAATAATAATTTAACTATTTTAAAAATCAACAGTTTTTAATTTTTAAAATTGAAACTGCTTTTTTTTGGAGCAATTTTAGGTTTACAGAATAATGAGCAGAAAGTACAGAAAATTCCATATACCCCCCCTTGCACCCCCTCTTCCTTTCCCTATTAACATCTTGCATTGATCTGGAACATTAAAATTGACAAGCCAATATTAATATATTATTGTTAACTAAAGTCCAGGGTTTACATTAGGATTCATTCTTTGTGTCGCATGTTCTGTTTTTATAAATAGATTATAGTATTATACAGAATAAATTATAGTATCATACAGAATAAAATATAATATCATACAGAGTAAATTACGGTATCATACTTAATAAATTACAGTATCATGCAAAGTAGTTTCATCACCCTAAAAATCCCTCTACTCCACCTACTCATTTCTCCTTCTCTTCTCCCAATCTTTTTACTGTCTCCATAATTATTACTAGTTTTACATTTTCACGGTTTTATTATTTGAAAAAGTCATATTTGTTCATAAGTTTTTAAAAAATTCAACATAGACATATATAAGATGAAAGGTGTATTTTCCTTCCCAGTCCCCGTGTCTATCCAGGTAACTATTGTAAGACAATTTTAATAGTGAGATTTTGGGACTAAAATAACAGACATTTTTTAGTTGAGTAAGATAAGCCTGTTGAATCATTCACTATTTTGTCATAAAGTTTCTAAATCAAAATCTAATCTTTATTAAAAATAAAAGTAGGCTGGGCAAAGTGGCTCAGGCCTGTAATCCCAGCACTTTGGGAGGCCAAGGTGGGTGGTTCGCCTGAGGTCCCGAGTTCAAGACCAGCCTGGCCAACATAGCAAAACCTCATCTGTACTAAAATACAAAACGTAACCAGGTGTGGTGACAGGCACCCATAATCCCAGCTACTTGGGAGACTGAGGCAGGAGAATCTCTTGAACCCAGGAGATGGAAGTCACAGTGAGTTGAGATTGTGCCACTGCAGTCCAGCCTGGGCAACAGACCCAGGCTCCATCTCAAAAAAAAAATAACAGTAGAGCAGTGACTCATGCCTGTAATCCCAACACTTTGGGAGGCTTGAGTCCAGGAGCTTGAGACCAGCCGGGGCAACATAGTGAGACCTAATTTCTACCAAAAAATTTTAAAATTAGCCTGGTCTGGTGGTATGTGCCTGTGGTTCTCGATACTCGGGAGGCTGAGATGGGAGGATCACTTTACCCTGGGAGGTTAAAGCTGCAGTGAGCTGAGACTGCACCACTGCACTCCAGCCTGGGCAACAGAATAAGACCCTGTCTCAAAAAAAAAAAAAAAATAGAGCCTAGAGTGGTGGCTCACACCTGCAATCGCAGCACTTTGGAGCCAAGGCAGGAGAATTGCTTGAGGTCAGGAGTTTGAGACTAGCCTGGCCAACATAATGAGACCCCATCTCTACAAAAAATTTTAAGAAAGAATAAAAGTAGAATAAGCAGAAATTCTTTGTAAACTATGAGAGTACACAGTCACTGTATTTTGGTTTGCCTCTATAGAAATATGAATAAAGGGGACCAGGAACGGTGGCTCACACCTGTAATCCCAGCACTTTGGATGGCCGCAGCTGGTGGATCATGGGGTCAGAAGTTCAAAACCAGCCTGACCAAGATGGTGAAACGCTGTCTCTTCTAAAAATACAAAAATTAGCTGGATGCGGTGGCAAGCACCTATAATCCCAGCTACCCAAGATGCTGAGGCAGGAGAATCACTTGAACCCAGGAGGCAGAGGTTGCAGTGAGCCGAGATTGTGCCACTGAACTCCAGCCTGGGCAATAAGAGCAAAACTCCATCTCAAAAAACAAACAAAATAAATACAAAATAAGCCAGGAGTGGTGTCACATGCCTGTAATCCCAGCTACTCAGGAGGCTGAGGCAGGAGAATCGCTTGAACCTGGGAGGTAGAGTTTGCAGTGAGCTAAGATCATGCCATTGCACTCCAGCTTGGACAACAGAGCTAGCCTCCATGTCAAAATAAAAAATAAAAAAAAAAAAAAGAAAGAAAAGAAAAGAAATATGAATAAAGGGATGTTTAGTCATAACTAGAAGCAGTTTCAAAGGACTCTGTAAGATGGCCAAACCAAAATACGTATTCTAATCCTCAGAAAATTTTTTAAGGCTAGTCATAATCTTCAGAATTTTGAGAGCCTCAGGTAGTCAGGAAACTGTAAACCTGTCACTTATATTGTCCTCTGCTAATCTGCCGGCTCTCACTTATGCCCAGATTCCTTTGTTTCTGTCGTCTTTCTACTGCTTAATGTTGAATTCATTGCTCAGAGCCACTCTAGTTGTATGTAGGCCACCAAAAAAAAAAACAGAGATAGGCCATGTGATGGGCTGGGAAGCTAGAAGACTGAATTGCATTTGGACATCACTGTATCCCTAATTATATTAATATTTGCCAGTGCTAAGCACAAACCTTTCCAGACTGCTAACTCATTTTTGCAAAAAGGAATCTTAAACTAAAAGGTTAGGCCAGGCGTGGTGGGCTCACACCTGTAATTCCAGCACTTTGGGAGGCTGAGGCTGGTGGATCACAAGATCAAGAGATTGCGCTCATCCTGGCCAACATGGTGATACCCTGTCTTTACTAAAAATACAAAAAAGCTGGTCTTGGTGGCGCACGCCTGTAGCCTCAGCTACTCGGGAGGCTTAGGCAGGAGAATTGTTTGAACCTGGGAGGTGGAGGTTGCAGTGAGCTGAGATCGCACCACTGCACTACAGTCTAGCAACAGAATGAGACTTCACCTCAAAAAGAAAAAAACAAAAACAAACAAACAGAAAAACCATATAAACTTATAAACCAGCTATCCCTGAGAACCCTTTTGGCCTTATTCTCTCACAATAAGGATGAAAGTTGTTCCCTTCCATTTTTAAGATTGTATGATTTTTATCTCAAACATTGGAAGTCTTAATTCCCAAGAATCTTAGGCTACTTTCAGGAGGAAATGCTGAATGTGAGGCACTCCGAAACCTGTATACTCGTTCTTCCCTCCCTTCAATGTCCTGTACTAAAATAATCTCTATATTAGATTTCTATGAATTGACCCCACAGATGCTTAGTAGCCAAAAGCAGTTTTTCATTTCCAAGCAAAATCCTCTACTATTATGGGTCATTGGAATCTGAAAGAGGCCAAGATCACTTGAGGTTTTTTGAGGGTCTGGATATACTTTAAAAAGTAGTACTGGCCAGGTGGTGGTAACTCATGCCTGTAATCCCAGCACTTTAGGAGACACAGGCAGGCAGATCATGAGGTCATGAGTTCAAGACCAGCCTGACCAATATGGTGAAACCACATCTCCAATAAAATACAAAAATTAGCTGGGCATGGTGGCACATGCTTGTAATCCCAGCTACTCAGGAGGCTGAGGCAGGAGAATTGCTTGATCCTGGGAAGCGGAGGTTGCAGTGAGTTGAGATTGCTCCACTGCACGCTAGCCTGGGCAACAGAATGAGACTCCATCTTAAAAAAAAAAAATTAAAAAGTAGTACGAGACTGGCTTATTAAAATTAGAGTATATTTAAATGCTTATACATAATAAATAATAAATATCATTTGTAAATAACTGCCAACGTCTAAATTTGAGACCCTCTCTTCCAATAGGCCTTTATTCTACTTTGTGCTTAGCTGTGCTGGATTTGGAAAACCCAGATTCTTTGGGCCACACATTAGGGTGAATTATTATAGTATCGTTTCTCTTCAATTGTGCCTAAAGTTAGTCTTTTCTTCTTGCCTTGTGTTTCAGCCCCTTGAGCAATGAGACTAATGTCCCTTGGAATGTTGTTTCTGAGATGATCATTTCAGGGATGTGAACATGTTTACTGGTTTTGTTTTAGTGTACTGAGAACTGAGGATACTGATTTGTCATATTGGTCCTGTAAGGTGTCAGGAGCATACACCCAACTCTGAAAACATTCCTTGCTTTTATAGAGAAAATGTTGATTACCATTCCTGCTGATATGATATCATAGTTGTTCTGTATGTTTCAAAGCCAGATAATTCAGGTTTGAGTTCACTATGAGAAGTTTGTTATAAAAGGGTTACTTTGCATCACTTCTACCCTGACATTACAGATTTTCTTTCTTTTTTTTTTTTTTTTGAGACAGAGTTTCACTGTCGTTGCCCAGGCTGGAGTGCAATGGCACGATCTCACCACAACCTCTGCCTTCTGGGTTCAACCGCTTCTCCTGCCCCAGCCTCCCAAGTAGCTGGGATTACAGGCATGAACCACCATGCCTGGCGCTGACATTACAGATTTTCTACTTTTATAGCATAATTTTTATGCTGTAAAACGGTTTGTAATTAAGTAGTATAATTTTTAAATAAGGTGCTTGGTTCCTGATTATTTAAAATTTAGAAGACACTATATATAAATAAATTTTATAAATCTATCATCTTATCATTAAAAGTTAAATCACTACCAGCCAGGCATGGTGGCTCATGTCTGTAATCTCAGCACTTTGGGAGGCCGACATGGGTGGTCACCTGAAGTCAGGAGTTTGAGATCAGCCTGGCCAACATGGTAAAACCCCGTCTCTACTAAAAATACAAAAAGTTAGCTGGGTGTGGTGGTGAGCGCCTGTAATCCCAGCTACTTGGGAGGCTGAGGTTGCAGTGAGCCAAGATCCCACCATTAAACTCCAGCCTGGATAACAGGATCGAAACTCTGTCTCAAAAGAAAAAAATGAATAAAAATAAATAAGTGTTAAATCACTACCAACATTTTCTTAAAAGCTAAATTAACACAAACAGTAATAACTAAATAATGAGATTTTCATTTTTTAATATCATTTTCTAATGTGAATACAAGCCAAAGAAGACTACTTAAATATAGAATGAAAGGAAGCCAGCACATTTTTCTATGGTTAAAATAGCTTCTTTTCAATACTGCCAATACTGTTTCTTTCTTTGTTTTGCCTTTTCTTTTCTTTTCTTTTCTTTTTTGAGACAGAGTCTCCCTCTGTCTCCTAGGCTGGAGTGCAGTGACGCCATCTCGGCTCACTGCAACCTTCATCTCCCAGATTCAAGTGATTCTCCCACCTAAGCCTCCTGAGTAGCTGGGACTGCAGATGTGCACTACAATGCCTGGCAAATTTTTTTTTTTTTGAGACAGAGTCTCACTCCATCACCTAGGCTGGAGTGCAGTGGTGCAATCTCGGCTCTCTGCCCCCCGGGTTCAAGCAATTCTTCTGCCTCAGTCTCCTGAGTAGCTGGGACTACAGGTGCATGTCAACACGCCTGGATAATTTTTATATTTTTAGTAGAGTTGGGGTTTCACCATATTGGTCAGGCTGGTCTTGAACGCCTGACCTCACAATCTGCCCGCCTCGGCCTCCCAAAGTACTGGGATTACAGGCATGAGCCACCTCACCTGGCTTCTTTTGTATTTTAAGTAGAGACAGGGTTTCATCATGTTTGCCAAGCTGTTCTCAAACTCCTGACCTCAGGTGATCTGCCTTCCCCGGCCTCCCAAAGTTCTGGGATTACAGGCGTGAGCCACCATACCTGGCCTGATTTCTGTTTTTGACTATTACAAATAAAGGTACCATGAACATTTGTGTACAGGTTTTTATGTGAACCTAGATTTCCATTTCTCTAGGATAAATGCTAGAGAATATTTGTAAATGCCTGTCAGGATATTCTGGTTGTAGCATAATTTATTTTTTTCTTCCTTGTTGTTAGTTATCTTTAGCTAAGATAGAGCATCTATTTCCTTCCCTTTTTAAAAAAATTTATTTTAGGTTAAGGGGTACATGTGCAGGTTTGTTAATAGGTAAATTGTGTGTCATGGGGGTTTGATGTAGAGATTGTTTTGTCACCAGGTAGTAAGTATGGTACTCATTAGGAAGTTCTTCTCTTCTTACCCTCCTCTCACCCTTCTTCCTTTTTAAAGCATTCTATTTAATAACAAGGTTTCCAAAAGGGAAGTAAAGAAGTAAGTGGTGTGCCCTGATTTCTCTTCTTTGCTACATTGGGATTACGGTTTAAACTTCTAATGATGATTACACAGAGAATTGAGTGTACCTTTGGATGTGGCGTGATGAATCTTAAAGCTCGAGAAATAACCCTCAGCGTACATTTACTTTCAGGCTTACAAGACAATCACATCAGACCCAGCTAAACACACGGAACAGACAACAAATTTGAAAGAAAAAACAAAAGCGGAGATACGTCCATTTCAAGGTAAATGAATTTATTAATTTTTTATTTTCATTTATTTTTTGAGGCACTACTTTCCATCTACTTAGTCTAGCAGTGAACACTATTTGCTTTCGGTTTCTTTTCTAGCTTAATGCAAAATGACTCTGGGTATAAGTTCATTTAGAAAAGAAAAGCTCAACTGAAACCTAAAGAATATTGTTATACCTTTTGGATGAGTGCATTTGACAAATGAACATTTTACATACATATTGCCGACCGTGACTTTTGACTCCTTTGTGTGGTAATATTATTTTTCCCCTACTCAGACATTCACTTATGCAGGCATAATTTTAGTATCTGTCTCTCTCAGCAGGTTGATCTTTCATTTTCCTCATTATTTAAAAATAATAATGAAACTAATTGATCTTTCAGTTTGGGCTAAGACCACCTGTGTGCCTTTGTGCAAATCAGGTACATATGACATAATAGAATCAGTTGTGTATATATCGAGTCCTTCAGTTGACCAGATAGTGACCATGAAAACAGAAACTTTATCTTTTCACCCTTTCTTTCCTTCCTACATTTCTTTTTCTTCTTTCCTTCCTTCCCTTCCTTCCCTCCCTCCCTTCCTTCCTTTGTTCATTCCTTCCTCCCTCCCTCCCTTTCTCCCTTCCTCCCTCTCTCCCTTCCTCCCTTTCTCTTCTCCTTCCTTCCCTTCCCCCTTCCCTTCCCCTTTCCCTCTGTGGGCTCTCTGTCAACCAGGCTGGAGTGCAGTTGTGCAATCATAGCCTACTGCAGTCTTGAACTCCTGGGCTCCAGGAATCCTCCCATTTCAGCAGCTAACCTGCAAGCATGCACCACTACACCCAGCAAATTTATTTTTTATTTTTTGCAGAGACAGGGTCTCACTGTGTTGCCCATGCTGGTCTTGAACTCCTGGCCTCATAGGATCCCCTCCTGCCTCAACCTCCCAAAGTGCTGGGATTACAGGCATAAGCCACTATGCCTAGCCACTTCTTGCTTTAAACCATACTTTTTTTCCATGCTATTATTATCAATTACTATGATCACTACTCAGAGATATTAGCTGCTTATGAGCCAGTTTTAACCTGTCATGACAATAATAAAAAACAGAATGTCATCAATATACATTATTGAATATAATCATGTAGTTGTTTATAATAATAATAAAATAAGCATTTGCATAGAACTTTTTATATTAGTCCCCTTTTAATATACAATATTTTAATTAATCTTTAAAATAGTCCTGTGCAGTAGATATTATCAATACCCCTATTTTACAGCTGACAAAAATGAGGTTGAGAGAGGATTAGTGATTTCTCAGTTATCAGCTAGGAACTTGGCTACCCTTCCATGATATCTCATGGAAGATGAATATGGTAGCTACTTATTTTTGTATTCTTCATATTTGGCTAAGTAATATATTCAAGTTTTTTTTAGTTCAAAGTGTTTACAGAAAAGCAGGTCCCCCATTTTCCCTCCAAGAGGCAACCAATAAAACCAGTTTCTTTGAATCCTCCTGAAGAGTTTTGCAAATACGATTATCTAGGCATGCAACTTACCCCTTTCCGCTCCCCTACCATTTTTCCTAACACAACAGTAGCATGCTGTATATGTTGTTCTTTCTTGCTGTTTCACTTGAGAGTCTACTTGAAGACTATTACACATCAGTGCATGTAGATCTGTCTTATGTGTTTAAATGACTGCCATGTTTCACTGCCTTCCCATTATCTTTAAATTAATACCTTGCTTAACCACTAATTCTTAAAGGTGAAAAGGAGAATGTTGCAGAAACTGAGAATGCAAGTTCAGAAGCCCCAGAAGTACTTGTAGTGGAAGCTGACGTGGTGGATGCTGAAGAAAGTCCAAGTGCTACAGCTGCAGTCATACAAGAAACATCTGCCTGTCCAGGTCACGTGGAGGCTGCTCCGGAGACCACAGCAGTCAGTGCTGAAACTGGGCCAGAGGTCACAGATGCAGCGGTGGAGGGGGAAACCGCAGAAGTCAACCCTGAAACAACCCTCGAGGTTACAAATGCAGCTCTGGATGAAGCCGTCACCATCGATGATGATAAAGATACAACAGAGAAACGAAGCTCTGATGAATATGCTGAACTAGAAGAAGAAAATTCTCCAGCTGAGTCAGAGTCCTCTGCTGGAGATGATTTACAGGAGGAAGCCAGTGTTGGCTCCGAGGCTGCGTCAGTTCAAGGCTGATCTGCTGGTAGACGTTTCAGCAGCAAATGCCATAGAGTGTCTGATAAGTGCTTCTGTGTTTTTAGTACACTTAGTTTAAAAAAAGAAAGACTTATTTTCTAGAAAACGTTAATGTGTCTTGAAGATTTTTGGCATCCACTGATAGATTTTAGGATTAAGAGACTTGAGATTGTACATTTCTTATTACTCTTCTACTGTCTGAGATTGGCATTGCAGTAAAGAGCTTGAATAGTTTCACCTTTGGCTTTTCTTTCTATACATTTTTCTTTTATCACAGTCATCTTTGAATTTAGATTTTTTATTAGAGAAATTGAGCTATCCACACAACCTGTATTCACTTTAATTTTGCTATGCCTTCAGCTTACTTTATTGTATGGTATGTAGATCCAAAATATAGTTTGAGTCAAATAAAATTAGAAAAGCTTTGGTGTTTCTACTTTTTTCACTAATATTTACATGTACAAATAATATATATTAACATACACATACATAACATCACATAAAGAAATTTAAACTTTCATAATATCATTGAAGAAAGAGCATATAATCTACGGAGAAGCCTGCATACGACAATATGTGTGCCCTCTCCCTTCTATAGTACTTACATAGGGGACTTGGAGATCCTTTTGGTTTCAGTTCAGTTCAATATTTATTGAAGATTAACACTTTGTGCCAGGAATCATTCATTCATTCATTCATTCATTCACATGTTCAGCAAGTACTAACTGAGCACTTACAACATAATAGGTATTGTTTTAAGTGCTCCCCAGTTTATATTCTAGAGTGGAACTGGGTAATAAGACAAACGAGAAAATTATGTAGTATGTTAGATACTGATAAGTGCTAAGGATAAAAGTAATGAAAATAAAAGATTGTAAGTGTTAGTTCGAGGTGGAAGTTGTAATTTTAGATAGGATGGCCAAAAGAGACCTTACTAGGAAGGTGTCTTTTGCATAGAGACCTGAAAGATATATAAGGGACCATCTCATGGTTGGAGTTATTGGGGATCAGCCAGGTAAGGGAACAGAAAAGGGCAAAGGATCTGAAACAGGAATATGCTGGGAATTTGAGGAATTGTGAGGTGGCCACTGTGGCTAAAGTGGAGTGAAAAAGAGGGAGAGTACCCAGAAATGGTCTCAGAGAGAAAGGAAGTAGGCAGGCAGGGTGGGCTAGATCATGCACGGTCATGTAAGGTTTCGGCTACGGAGTAAGTTGGGAAATCGCAGTGGACACTGCTGATGCTCTGCCCAGATCCCATTAATTGGGCCCCTTAACTGAGTAAATTTATCCCTGGCTGCTATAAATGTTACACTCCACACCCCACCGTCACCATAGGCAGTTCACAACCAAGAACTGACTGCCATAGAAAAGGGGCGCCGATGCTGCAGTACAACTGAACAGCTCATACTCCAGCCCACCCCAAGGGGCAGATTGAAGCTGGTCTGCAGCTGAGATGATTTCCCTGCTTAGCTCTTTCCCCTGTTCTTTTCTGCTTTCCTGTCTCCATTCTCCTGGGAACACTCCTCTCATAAATGGCTTGCAGAAGAATCCCTGTTTCTAGGGAACGTCACTTTAGATCATTGGTACTGGATGTGATCCTAGGAAGCAGGCTCTAAGAATAGGATTCTGGAGTTGTATCACTCTTCAGCTAGAGGGCAATGAGACCTTGCACACACATACAAATGCATTTTCCTCCATTTTCTACTATAAATAACAGAAACATACTCAAAAGGGATTAAACAACAGAGATCGTTATTAAATAACTGGACGGATAGTTATTATATAACTAGATATCCAAGGTTGGCTTATTCTGTGGCTCAGTCATCAAGACCCTGGTAGTACCTGTTGTCATGCTCTGTCAAGAATATTTTGGTCCAGGCACAGTGGCCCACACCTGTATTCGCAGCACTTTGAGAGGTCAAGGCGGGAGGATCACTTGAAGTCAGGAGTTTGAGACCAGCCTGGGCAACAAAGTGAGAACCTTGTCTCTACAAAAAAAATTTTAAAAATTAGCCAAGTGTGGTGGTGAATGCCTGTGGTCCCAACTACGTGGGAGGCTGAGGCAGGAGGATCACTTGAGCCCAGGAAGTCGAGTCTGCAGCGAGTCATGTTCATGCCACTGTACTCCAGCCTAGGAGACAGAGCAAACCCTGTCTCAATAAAAAAAAGAATGTTTGGCTTTGTCCCTCTCGTAATTACAGGATGAATCACCACAACTCTAGGTATTTTATAGAGTTTACTAGAAGTGTTAAAAAAAAAGAGTTTCCTTATCTTAAAAAAACTTCTACTGTTCTATTTTAACATTTAGAAAATATAGAAAGTTTCAAACACAAGTACAGAGAATAGTATAATGAATCCTCATGTGCACTACACCCAGATTTACCAATTATCAAGTCATGGCAAATCTTGTATTCATATTCCTATCCATTACCTTCGATCACCACAACTGAGGGCCCACCTACAGCTAACACTAATCCGAGACATGTGAGTAAGGTTATGAAGTCAAATCTATGATACTGGATATATGTCTGTAAAATAATAAGAATTGTTTACCATTATTAATTATCTAGTCAATGATCAAAATTTCCTCAACTGCTTCATAAAGGATTTCTCTCTCCCTTCAGTTTGTTTCTTAAGTCAGAATCCAATTAAAGTCTACAAGTGGGTGGCCAGGCACTGTGGCTCACGCCTGTAATCTCAGCCCTTTGGGAAGCTGAGGCAGGCAGATCACCTGAGGTCAGGAGTGCAAGACTAGCCTGGCCAACATAGAGAAACCCCGTCTCTACAAAAATACAAAAATTAGCCTGGCATGATGGCAGGTGCCTATAATCCCAGCTACTTGGGAGCCCAAGGAGGGAGAATTGCTTGAATCCGGGAGGTGGAAGTTGCAGTAAGCCGAAATCACGCCATTGCACTCCAGCCTGGACGACAGAGCCAGACTCCAAAAAAAAAAAAAAAAAAGTCCACAAATGGTAAATACATATTTAAGTCTCTTTTTCTGTAGGTTGCTCCTCCATCTCTCTTCTACTTTTCTTTGCAATTTATGGTTTTAATAAAGTGACTCATTTGATTTGTAGAATTTTTCAGTCTGGACTTTGCTTATTGCAACCACATGTGTTTGTTCTGTTTTAACATGTTCCTCTCCCCCATATTGCCTATAAATTGGTATTTAGATCTAGAGGTTTGATCAAATTGCTATTTATTTATTTGTTGTAGGAACAAGGTCTTGCTCTGTTTCCCAGGCCAGAGTGCAGTGGCACTATCAAAGCTCACTGCAGCCTCCAACTCCTGGGCTGAAGCAATCCTCCAACCTCAGCCTCCGAAGTGGCTGGGACTACAGGCACACACTAATTTTTTAAATTTTTTTATAAGGATGAGGTCTGTCTATGTTGCCCAGGTTGGTCTTGAACTCCTGGTCTCAAGTGATCCTCCCACCTCAGCCTCTCAAAGTGATGGGATTACAGGGGTGAGCCACTGTGCCTGGCTTTGGAAGGAATTATTTGTAGGACATGTTCATACATCCAACAGGAGGTGCATAATATTTGGTGCTTTTCTCTTCGTGATGTTAGAAGCCATTGATTCATTATTTTATTAGGAGTTGTTAAATGGTGATACCCTTTCTCTATATTCCTTCCATCTGTTTCTTCCACTTCCTAATATAGATTCATTCTGGCTTATCGTTCTTTCCACTTTTTCTTTATATAAGCTCTATATGTTATATATATGATATATATAAGTTACATATAACATATATAACATATTGTTATATATAGAATATATAATATATGTTATATATAGCATATATATGGCTTATACAAATAAAAAATGAAAAGATAAGCCTAAATCCTTCTTAGCTATACATATAGACAGAGCTTATTTATTTATATACATATATATAAGAATTTAGTCACAAATTCTTCCCACCCTTTATATGTATAATATGTAACCTATATATATTATATATATATTGTTATTTTTTCTTAGATAAGCAGTAGTATACTATACACATACATTTTTCTACCTTGCTTTTTTCATTCAACTATATGCCTGGAGATTAAATTGTTGATAGTAATATTTCTCATTGCTTTTCATGGTTGCATAGAACTACACTGTGTGGGTACTATGGATAGTTTATTCAACCGGTCCCCTGTTGATGGACATTTGGCTGGTTTCTAGTATTTGCTATTACAAATAGTGCTGCAATGAATAATTTCATGCACATATATTTTTGCTACTGTATCATTGGGATAGATTTCTAAAAGAGGGATTACTAGGTCAAATACATATGTAATTTTTCTGCTATTACAAAAGTCCTTTCATAGGAGGGCTATCATTTTATATCTCCAAAACGACAACGTGTGAGTGCCTGCTTCCTGTTTTACATGCAGAAACAGCAATGTATGTGAGTTCCCTAACATTTGGGTTTTTGCTCATGTGATAGATGAAAAAATATTTCAGTGGAGTTTAAATTTCTGTTTCCCTTATTAAGAGTGAGGTCGGGCTGGGCCCAGTGGCTCATGGCTATAATCCCAGAACTCTTGAGAGGCTAAGGTTGGCAGATCACTTGAGCCCAGGAGTTGGAGCCCAGCCTGGGCAACGTGATGAAACTGTGTCTCTACAAAAAATATAAAACATTAGCAAGGCACGATGGTGTGCACCTGCAGTCCCAGCTACTCAGGAGGGTGAGATGGGAGGATTGCTTAAGCCTGGGAAGTCAAGGCTGCAGTGAGTCATGATCATATCACTGCATTCCAGCTTGAGTGACAGAGTGAGTCCTTGTTTCAAAAAAAACAGAAAAGAAGAGTGAGATTGGACATTAATTTTTTTTTTTTGAGATGGAGTCTCATTCTGTCGCCAGGCTAGAGTGCAATGGTACGATCTCGGCTCACTGCAACCTCCGCCTCCTGGGTTCAAGTGATTCTCCTGGCTCAGTCTCCCACCTAGATGGGACTACAGGTGTGTACCACTACAGCAAGCTAATTTATTTGAAAATTTAATAGAGACAGGGTTTCACCATGATGGCCAGGACGGTCTCAATCTTTTGACCTCATGATCCACCTGCCTCTGCCTCTCAAAGTGCTGGGATTACAGGTGTGATTTAAAAATTTTTTTAATATACTCTTTTGTAGCTACAGGGTGTCACTATGTTCCCTAGGCTGGTCTTGAACTCCTGGCCTCAAGAGATCCTCCCGCCTCAGCCTCCCACAGCGATGGGATTACAGGCATGAGCTACCATGCCTGGCCTGAACATTTTTTTTTTTTTATGGTGAAGGACCATATGCATTTCTTTTTCTGCAAACTGTCTTTTTATATCTCTAATGCATTTTCCTGTAGTGTGTCAGTCCTTCCTTCCATTTTTTAGAAGCTGTTTATATGCTAAGGACATTAAACTTTTATCTCTAATATAAATTACAAATATTCTTCAAAGTTTGTGATTTATCGTTTTACTTTTTACTTATGGTATTTTTGTAGTATAAGATTTTTTTTTAAATCTCAGTGTAATCAAATTGATCAATCATTTTATGTATTGTTTCTGAATTTTGAGCCATTGTTAACACAGTAGTTTAAAAAAAATAGTCATAAATTCTTCCCATCCTTTTGTATACACTCCTGTTAAATCTAACTTTAGGCCGGGCATGGTGGCTCAGGCCTATAGTTACAACACTTTGGGAGACCAAGGTGGGAGGATCACTTGAGCCCAGGACTTGAGACCAGCCTGGGCAATATAGCAAGACCCTGTCTCTACTTCAAAAATGTTTTTTTCTTATTAAAAAAAATTTTTTTAATAAAAAATTAAAGTGTGGCTTTATATCTCTTCCTATCAAAAGATAGAGACTGGGCTGGGTGTGGTGGCTCACGCCTGTAATCCCAGCACTTTGGGAGGCCAAGACAGGAGGATCACTAGGTCAAGGGATGGAGATCATCTTGGCCAACATGGTGAAACCCCATCTCTACTAAAAAAATACAAAAATTAGCTGGGCATGGTGGCGCATGCCTGTAGTTCCAGCTACTCCGGAGACTGAGGCAGGAGAATTGCTTGAACCCGGGAGGCGGAGATTGCAGTGAGCTGAGATAGGTCACTGCACTCCAGCCTGGCGCCTGGCAACAGAGCGAGACTCTGTCTCAGGAAAAAAAAAAAAGAAAAAGATAGAGGCTGTTTCTTCATTCCCTTGAATTTGGGCTGCCCTTGTACTTTGTTTTGACCAACAGAATGCTATGGAAGTGACTTTCTGAGTTCTCACCCTCTTGAAATCCTGAGACGACCATGTGAGAAGCCTGAGCTATGCTCCAGGAGAATGAGAGAGCAAATGGAAAGAGATGCCCCACCTACAGCTAACACTGATTCCAGATGCGTGAGGCCATCCAAAACCATCCAGCTCCAGCACCATGCCAGGTGGCTCCAGTAGTTATATGAATGACCACAGGGGAGACCAGAAAAGAATCACCCAGCTGAACACAGACCAAATTGCTGACCTGCTAAATTGTGAGCAAATAAGATGGTTGTGTTCTAAGCCGTGAAGTTGGGGTACTTTATTAAGAGCAATACATAATTAAAATACTTAGGAAATAGACTAGGCATGGTGGCTCACTCCTAATCCCAGCACTTTGGGAGGCCGAGGCAGGTGGATTACCTGAGATCAAGAGTTTGAGACCAGCCTGCCAACATGGCAAAACCTTCTCTCTGTTAAAAATGCAAAAATTAGGGCCGGGTGCAGTGGCTCACACCTATAATCCCAGCACTTTGGGAGGCCAAGGCTGGTGGATCACGAGGTCAAGAGATCGAGACCATCCTGGTCAACAAGGTGAAACCCCGTCTCTACTAAAATACCAAAATTAACTGGGTGTGGTAGTGTGCGCCTGTAGTCCCAGCTACTCGGGAGGCTGAGGCAGGAGAATTGCTTGAACCCAGAAGGCGGAGGTTGCAGTGAGCCGAGATCGTGCCATTGCACTCCAGACTGTATAACAACAGCTAAACTCCATCTCAAAAAAAAAAACAAAAAAAGCAAAAATTAGTTGGGCGTGGTGGCGGGCACCTGTAATCTCAGCTACTAGGGAGGCTGAGGCAGAAGAATCGCTTGAACCTAGGAGGCAGAGGTTGCAGTGAGCCCAGATCATGTCATTGCATTCCAGCCTAGGGTGACAAGAGTAAAACTCCATCTCAAAAAAAAAAAAAAAGAAAAAGAAAAAACATACTAGGAAATAAAACAATTTGAAATTGACACCTCTTTTTCTTTTTTTAGATTTAGTATTATGACTTTTCACATTCCTCAACGGGACTGAAGAAAGAACTAGCTGTGCCTAGCAGAAACAAAATTTGTCTGGCTTAGCCTTCCGGCCAATTGGTACCTTTTCTGAAATTCTTTTCAGAGCTGCTAAATGCTGAAATGTGACTGCATATGGAAAAATTATCTTTTCCATTTTAAAATTCAGTATTATTTAAAACACTCAAGGCCAGGAGTTCAAGACCAGCCTGAGCAACATAGCAAGACCTCATCTCTACAAAAAAATTAAAAATTAACTAGGCATGGTGGCATGTGCTATGGTTCCAGCTACTCAGGAGGCTGAGGTGGGAGGATCACTTGAGCTCAGGAGTTCGAGGCTGCAGTGACCTATGATAGTGCCACTGCACTCTAGCCTGGGCAACAGAGCAAGACCCTGTCTTAAAATAAAATAAGATAAAATAAAATGACCCTTTAAAACAGCAGCTATCCAGTACAAAAAACAACCTATGTCTTATTGATCTTTTTCGAGTTTAACAACGAGTATAATGAAGGTTTCACAACAGTATTCCATAAAAAGCATTTTTACTATTATATCGTTGACTGCTTTTTTTTTTTTTTTTTTTTTTTGAGATGCAGTCTGGCTCTGTTGCCCATATTAGAGTGCAGTGGCGTGATCTTGGCTTACTGCAACCTCCACCTCCTGGACTTAAGTGATTCTCTTGCCTTAGCCCCCTGAGTAGCTTGAATTACAGGCACTCACCACCATGCCCAGCTAACTTTTGTATTTTCAGTAGGCATGTGGTTTTTGCCATATTGTCCAGGCTGGTCTCAAACTCCAGCTTGACCTCAGGTGATCTACCCACCTTGGCCTCCCAAAGTGCTGGGATTACAGGCATGAGCCACAGTGCATGGCCTGATTGATCTTAACATAATAAAAATGTATTATATATTGAAAAAGTCAAAGTGAGGTAGGATGTGAGGTATAGAATATGAAATTATTGCAAAAGATAAAAATTGACACAGAATCAAGTAGTTCAGTTACTTCTCTTTGATGTAGACAAGAGATATAAAGGAAGCCTAAAATAGAAAATGTAACATGTTTTCCAAACACTGACATGACCATAAAATTTAAATATTAATATATTAATGGCTGGGCATGGTGGCAATTGCCTGTAACAACAGTGCTTTGGAAGGCTGAGGTTGGAGGATTGCTTGAGGCCAGGAGTTCAAGACCAACTTCAGCAACAAAGAAAGACCCTGTCTTTACCAAACAAAAAAATGCCAAGTGTGGTGGCATATACCTGTAGTCCCAGCTACTCAGGAGGCTGAGTCAGGAAGATTGTTTGAAACTAGGAACTCAAGTCTACTATGAATCGGTCATATCACTTTACTCTGGCCTGGGAAACAGAGCAAGACCCTGTCTCGAATAAATAAATATTACCTTAATTGTGAAAAAAATGTATGAAGCAGTCTTTAACAATGGAGGAGAGATAACTATTTTTGTCCATTTTTTAAAGCGTGAATTTTCTACAAAGTACAGTATACTCCCCAGCCCGTTTTTGAGAGTTCAAGCTGGATTCAGGGGAGATTAGATTCTGAATGTGTTAGTGGTTTTGGTGCCAACTATTTGTCCTGTTGGATAGCATTCATTGACTAGAAACGACACTGTCCGGTATAATAAAACACATTACATAATGTTTTTTCCCAGTGAATAGAATCACTGCAGAAATTTCTAGAAAAAAAAGTATTTAATTCAGCTTTTAGGGTAAGATTTTAGTGAACAAGTTGGAAGAATTATGAAAGTTAAATATTATTATTTGAATTTCACACATGGATATATAATTTTAAATAATTATTGCTCAGTTTAATAATTAAACTAATAAAAAACTTATTTCTGACATTATTTCATAAGGATAGTGATTTCCAGGGGAAAAATGGATTAAGAGTATATTAGCAGCTCACTTCGGCAGCACATATCCTAAAATTGGAATGATACAAAGAATAGCATGGTCTCTGCACGATGCTGACAGGCAAATTCGTGAAACATTCTATGTTTTTAAAAATAAAAAATAATTAAATTAGCTGTTTCCTTTATCAAGTGGCAAGATGATGAGAAGATTATGGGCATTACTACTTCTCCTTTAGGAATGAGAATTCTTCACATATCAGAAATGCTTTCATTCAGAACTAGGACAATTAGGACAAGGAATGTTCCTTTGCAGTAGAAGAATCTGTGAAGATTGTAGTTATATCTATAATGTCTCAAACAGAAAACAAATAGAATAAAAAATTAACTGAAGTTTTAAAATTCATTTTGAGATTAGGTGGTAATTAATGAAATTCACCATGCAGTGATTTTATTGTTATTAAAATGTCCAGAATAACAGGTGTTAAAGTCACAATGCAGATATTTTAGTCATATAGCACTTTCAGTAAAGAAAATTTGTCACATTTTTCAAAAGAACTCAAGGAGTAGCAAAGTATTCTGAGCCTTTCAATTTTACTTCTCACATCTCTCACTCCTTCCCATTCCCTGCATCTCCAGATTGTTACCTTAGTTCACTTCTTCATACCTATAAACTCTAAGCAAGTCTCCCTACTGGTAAGTTCACAGAATTACTTAACTTCTAAAATGGTAAATTGATCGTGTTAATGTCCAGCTAAAACTTCACTAGCCTACCATAATCTGAATCAAGACATTTAATTTGTTATATCCTGCCCAGCACAGTGGCTCACACCTGTAATCCCAGAACTTTGGGAGTTCAAGGCAGGTGGATCACCTGAGATCAGGAGTTTGAGACCAGCCTGGCCAACATAGTGAAATCCCATCTCTACTAAAAATACAAAAATTAGCCAGGCATGGTGGCACACTTATAATCCCAGCTACTCAGGAGGCTGAGGCAGGAAAATCACTAGAACCTGGGAGGCGGAGGTTGCAATGAGGTGAGTTTCGCCATTGCACTCCAACCTGGGCAACAAGAGTGAAACTTTGTCTCAAAAAAAAAAATTGTATGTCTTTACAGTCAAAATTTTTATACTATGACATTGAAGGCAACCTATAGCTGTCAATTCCACAATCCATAACTGTTTAATCTCTCTCCACACTTACTTTCTGTCCTTACTCCTATTTTTCTACAGCCTCTAGCTACCTTCCCTCCCCTATAGATCCAGACATCCTAAATGATTTAACAGCATTCCTTGAACTTGTCATCCTGTTTTGTGCCTCAAAGATCTTACAGGTGGTTCACGCCCTCTAGAAAGACACTATCCATCCCACGACCAACCCAATTCCTTTCTAATTACTCAATTAAACATCACCTGCTTTGTAAAGTCTTTCTTTGCCTGACTGAGCTGACTTGATGACAACTTCCTTTGTGCTATCCTGTGCCTTTATTATTGCATTTATCATTCTGATTTGCAATTATTTGTTTATATTTTGGAATCCTTCACTAGAATGAATGTTGCCTGAAAGCAAACAATACATTAGGGCCTTCAATAAATGTCTGCTGAATGAAATTGTGAGGCTTGTGGAGCTGTGGCCTATTTTATAGAGCTGAACCCTATGAATCTGCTGGTATTTGGCCATTTCTGATCTGTCAAAACAGCCATTTCATAGGTTTCAACCTAACTATATTCCAAAAGGTACATCTTGGCCAGATGCGGTGGCTCATGCCTGTAATACCAGCACTTCGGGAAGCCAAGGCGGGTGGATTACCTGAGGTCAGGAGTTCAAGACCAGCCTGATCCACATGGCGAAACCCTGTCTCTACTAAAAATTCAAAAATTAGCCAGGCGTGGTGGTGGGCACTTGTAATCCCAGCTAATGGGGAGGCTGAGGCAGGTGAGTTGCTTGAACTGGGTAGGTGGAGGTAAACAAAACCAAAAGGCAAATCTTGAGAAAAGTTCAGCTTGTTTAACTTCACTAAAGTAAGTCTAACTTCTGGCCGGGAGTGGTGGGTCATGCCTATAATCCCAGCACTTTGGGAGGCCAAGGTGGGTGGATCACAAAGTCAAGAGACCATGCCCATTCTGGCCAACATGGTGAACCCATCTCTACTAAAAATACAAAAATTAGCTGGGCATGGAAGCATGTGCCTGTAGTCCCAGGTACTCAGGAGGCTGAGGCAGGAGAATTGCTTGAACCCAGGAGGCAGAGGCTGCAGTGAGCTGAGATCATGCCATTGTACTCCAGCCTGGCAACAGATAGAGACTGTCTCAAAAAATTTAATTAACTAAATAAAATAATAATTATAACTTCTGATATAAATGCAAACATTTCTCAGATTACATAGAAACTCAGCTAAAACATTTCTCACATAGAATTTCTTTTCCTTAAAGAAATCAGGCGAGGTGCTGAGGCTCTAGCCTGTAATCCCAACACTTTGGGAGGCAAAGGCGGGAGGATCACAAGGTCAGGATATCAAAACCATCCTGGCCAACATGGTGAAACCCGTCTCTACTAAAAATACAATAAAAATTAGCTGGGCTTGGTGGTGTGTGCCTGCAGTCCCAGCTACTCAGGAGGCTGAGGCAGGAGAGTTGCTTGAACCCAGGAGGCGGAGATTGCAGTGAGCGAGATTGCACCACTGCACTACAGCCTGGGCGACAGTGTGAGACTCTGTCTCAAAAAAAAAAAAAGAAAAGAAAAAAAATCAATCAGGCTAAGCTGGATGCAGTGATGACACTGTAGTCCCAGCTATTAGGAAGACTAAGGTGAGAGGATCAGTTGAGCCTAGGAGTTTGAGGCCAGCCTGGGCAACACAGTTAGGCCGCCCATCGAAAAAAAATCAGCCTATTTTTCTTTTCTCAGTACAAAGCCCACTTGTTATGCTGAATGGAATGTTCATTCCATTTGTACTTTTTTCTTTGCTGGCGGGGTGGTGTTAGGGAGGTGAGGAAGGAGCATCCTATTTGTTGATATCTTGCTCAGGTTTCCCTCTAGACTGTTGCCCTTTGGAACAAAACAGAGGCCCAAGCGTAGGACTGGGGTTCACCATCGCTCTGGGAAGCCTTTTGAGCTTTGGAACAGGCATCACCACATTAATCAGTTTACATGAGAACTGTTGCTGCAGGCAGATTCCAGTGCAATTACATGTGCCACCTCACATTATTTTAGCTCCACTGCTCCTGAAGAGATTGTTTCCCAAGTATTCAAACCTGACTCTTCATATAAGAGCGACTAACTTTCTCCTAAACTGAAAGTTAACAAATACTCAATATCCTCCCAGTATTCCTTAAAACCCTGTCAGGAATCAAGTAAGTATAACAAAGTTGATATGAGCGCTCCTAGAAAGGACACAGTAATGTCCTTAAATATACTGCTTGTGAGCTGAAGAGGGGAGCAGATTTAAGCCCATCTTCTGTTTTCTTGCTCAGCCTTTTCCAATAAACCTTTTTCTCTAAAATAATAAAAATAAAGTAAAATAAATAAAGTCGATATGATAGCTAATATAAGTTCTTGCAAAGACTTTTTTTTGTCCAATCATATCTTACTTCAAAAGACTTATTCAGGAAACAACAGTAATGAAGCAGGGTTCCATCTTAACTCCCTTTTACCTGTTGGCTGTTTGGTTGCAGCAATATTTCCTGCTTCTCCCTGAAGTTCAATTTCCTGTTTCCTCAGAACTCAGTATTAATTAGAGGCAGAGTTTCTCATATTTTTGCTAGCACACACAGTTGGCCATCATCTGGACTGTCTGCAATTTCTTCGCATGAATGAATTTTTTGTCTAGTCAAGTTCCCATAGTTTGAAGTCTAATAAAAATATAGGGCTAAAAATATACCATTAAAAACTGAAGGACCTGTTCTCATACTCATAGATCTTGCTTAAAAAAAAAAAAAAATCCCAAAAACTGAAGGACCCAGGCACTGTGTCTCATAAGTGAATTCCCAGCACTTTGGGAAGCTGAGGTGGGTGGATCACCTGAAGTCAGGAGTTCGAGACCAGCCTGACCAAAATGGAGAAACCCTGTCTCTACTAAAAATACAAAATTAGCTGGTCATGGTAGCACATGCCTATAATCCCAGCTACCCAGTTGAGGCAGAAGAATCACTTGAACCAGGGAGGTGGAGGTTGCTGTGAGCTGAGATGTGCCATTGCACTCCAGCCTGGGCAACAAGAGAGAAACTCCGTCTAAAAAAAAGAAAAAAAAAAGGAAGGAAAGGGTGTGCGTATAGGGGGGTGACTTACCCTACTAAATATAAAGACTTAAAAAGCTATTAGCAATTAAGATAGTTGGTATCAGACAAATAGTTAATAGAAAAGAATATGGCACCGAGAATAAATGCTCACATGTATTTGTAAATTAGTATCTGACTGTTTACAAACCAGGGAGGAAATGATGGGCTCTTTAGTAAGTGATATGGAAATTACTGGATACTCATGGAAAAAGAAAATAAAGCCAGCCTCTTACCTCATAATATAAGCTGAAAAAATTACAAACGAATTAACAATTTAAAAACACAAAGAAAAATTCCAAAATTTTTGAAAGAAAATCGTTTTGTGACTTCAGATAAGGAGATCAAGACACAAAATTACAAAACAGAAGAAACCAACTGATAAATCGAAGTATAAAGATATAAACACCTTTTTTTTTTTTTTTGAGACGGAGTTTCTCTTTCGTTGCCCAGGTTGAAATGCTATGGCGCAGTCTCGGCTCACCACAACCTCCGCCTCCTGGGTTCAAGCAATTCTCCTGCCTCAGCCTCCAGAGTAGCCTGGATTACAGGTGGGAGCCACTGCACCCGGCTAATTTTGTATTTTTACTAGAGCCAGGGTTTCTCCATGTTGGTCAGGCTGGTCTCAAACTCCCTCAGGTGATCTGCCCACCTCAGCCCCCAAAATACTGGGATTACAGGTAAACAAATTTTTTGTTTTGTTTTGTTTTGTTTTAGATGGCCTCTCGCTCTGTTGCTCAGGCTAGAGTGCAGTGGTGCAATCTCAGCTCACTGCAACCTCCACCTCCCTGGTTCAAGCGATTCTCCTGTCTCAGCCTCCAGAGTAGCTGGGACTACAAGCGCGTGTCACCATGCCTGGCTACTTTTTGTATTTTTAGTAG